TTCTTCTGGAAAAATACCCAGAAGTGGAATATCTGGGTTGAACGGGACCTCTAATCCTAGCTTTCTGAGGCATCTCCACACTGATTTCCACAGCGGTTGCACCAGTATACACTCCCACCAAAAGTGGAATGGGTTTCCTTTGTCCCCACGTCCACTCCAGTTTTGTTATTGATTGATTTCTTGATGATAGCCGTTCTTTCTGGGGTGAGATTGAATCTCAGTGTTGTTTTGATTTGCATTTCTTAAATGACCAATGATATTGAACATTTTTTCATATATGTATTTACCATTTGTATTTCTTCATCTGAGAAGTGTATGTTCATCTCAGATGTCCATTTTTGGATTGGGTCTTTGCATTTTGGGGCCTGATTTTTTTAATTCTTTTAGTCTAGATAGATGTCCTTTGTTTTTTTTTTTCCCAATTTATGGGTTTTTCTTTTTACTCTGTTGGTGATTTCTTTTGATGTGCAAAACCTTTTCAATAAGATGAGATCTCAGTTGTTGATTCTTTGAAATATTTCATGGGCAGTTTGGTTTTTGTTCATGAACTCTCTGCCTACCCCCACATTTTCAAGATTTTTACCTATTTTCTTTTCCAGTAGATTTAGTGTTTCTGTTTTAATATTTAGATCTTTGATTCATTTTGACTTTCGTTTAGTGTGTAGTGGTTGATATGGGTCTAGTTTTAGTCTTCAGCATGTGGAAAGTCAGTTTTTCCAGCACCATTTATTAAAGAGACTATCTTTCTTTCAGTGAACATATTTGGTCCCTTTGTCAAAGATAAGATTGCTGAGTATGTTTGTAGTTGTGTCTACATCTTCTAATCTGTTCCATTGATCCTCAGGTCTGTTTGTTCGTTTTTTGTTTTTGTTTTTGTTTTGCCAGTACCACGCTGATTTTATCACAGTAGCTTTGTAGTATAATTTCAAGTCAAGCATTGTGACTTCCTGCCTTGCCTTTGTTGGCCAGGATTGTTTTTTGCTATTCTGGGTCTCTTCTGGTTGCAGATGAATTTTAGGAATGTTTTCTCTAGATCTGTGAGGTATACTAATGGCATTTTGATCAGGATTGCATTCAATCTGTATAACAGTTTTGGCAATATGGCCATTTTCATAATGTTGGTTCTTCCTGTCCAGGAGCAAGGAATATCTTTCCATTTTCTGAAATCCTCTTCAATCTCTTTTTTTCAGAGTACTGTAATTTTCACTGTATAGATCTTTTACTTTCTTTGTTAGACTGTTTCCTAAGTATTTCATTTTTCAGGATGCTATTGTGAAGGACATGGTTTCCTTAATTTTTTTCTCAGTGAGTTTGTTGTTTGTGTACAGGGATGCTATTGATTTTTGAGTGTTGACTTTGTATCCAGCTACACTACTGAATTTGGTTTTTAAATCTAGAAGTCTTTCGGTGGAGTTTTTGGGTTATTCTATGTAGAGTATCATGTCATCTGAGAATAATGATAATTTTACTTCTTTCTCTCCTGTCCCAATTCCTTTTATTTCTCTCTTTTGTCTAATTGCAAAAATTTTTATAAAACATACATAACAAAATTTACCACCTTACCTACTTTAAATTTGGGGACAGGAAGTGCATTTACAGTGTTGTAGAATCATCACCACTATCTACCTCCTGCACTTTTCCACCTTCTGAAACAGATTAAACCTGTTAAACAACAGCTTCCCATGCCCTGCTCCCTGAAAACTTTTATTCTCCTTTCTGTTTCCTTAGTACCTTATATAAGTGAAACCATGCAATTATTCACTTATGTTTGGCTTATTTTACAATGCATGTTTTCTCAAGATTCATGCATATTGTGACATATATCAGGACCTCATCTACTCCTCAAGCTGAATAATATTCACTGTTCATGTGTACTACAGATTTTTTACCCATTCATCTGTTGATGGACACGAGTTATTTCCACTTTTTGACCATCATGAACATATTGCTGCAGACATGGGTGTACAAACTAATTTACCTTTTTATTTAATAGTTTAAAATTGGGGGCTGGGGATTTAGCTCAGTGCCACAGTGCCTGCCTGGCAAGTGCAAGGTCGTGAGTTCGATTCCTGGTACCGGAGGAAAAAAAAAAAAAAAAAAATCAAAGCCAAAAATAGTTTAAAATTAATCTTTAAGAAAGAAAATCTCTTAATATTGCTTCATGGTAAGGAGGAAAAAAAAGCAGTTAAGCATATTTCTCTCACATATACAGTGAACATATGCTGAAACTGATTTATTCATAGTTCTGTTCAACTATAAAGTAAAATCTCTTTGTTCATGGTACTTAACAGTCATTGATTTTAAATGCCAAGAACATTATAAGGAATACAAAATGTATTTAGCCTGATAAAGAAATTCTACCAATTGTTTTTCTTACTTCTTTTCCAAAAACAATATTTGTAATTAATTTTGAAGCTGAATTCATATCTTAGCAAGAGTACAGTTGTGCTTATTTTGCTATGAGGATGGAATGATGACTTTTCTAGTTTTGGTGTCTTCTCAAACTTTAACATCAAATTTCACAATTTTTCATGGCAGAGCTTTATTTTGTGCTTATGCTAGAGATGGTCTGGTTTAAAAGTTAGGTTGGTAGGCTTTATTGGAAAATAATATGGAAGTTTTGGTAGCTTTATATAATTATTTGACAAAAATGCTAAGGTCTGATGAAATTCAATGATCATTATTCATTGCCACGAGTTCCATTTT